AACTTATCCCAGGCACAAGTCCTTCAGACGACGAACGCTAAAGTGCAGCGCACCGGAACGCGAGGACACAGTGTTGCTTTGCGAGAGGGTGCCAGACGGTCAGAAAGCGCCCCTTTAAATGAACTTTTTTCCAATTTTCTCAAGTTCAGTTCTCGTTCAGTTTCTTAGGGCAACCTACGGGTGCGGCCAGTTGAAATATTGACCTTCTACCAGAATCGCCACCCTCAGAAGACCTTTAAGACATGCCTTCCTCAACGTTGCAGTGCTTTGCAGTACTTACCACACGCACTCACACACGTGCTTTTTCATAAACATGTTGTTTTGGTGAGATCGTGCTCGGTTCGCCTGTTCAATACTGCCGTTTTTTGCAAACAACGTCGATTATTTCCTTGTTCCTTGCAAATCTATTAAGCATTATTCGTAGCTTGTGGTCTTGGAGAATCGGACAAAAGGAGCGGATAGGTATTGATTGGGAAATTGATCTGCCTAGACTCATCGCTTTCTGGTTTCCGAAGAATCGCGAAAGCGAGGCGTCAGAGAGTCGCACCAGTTTGCCGGCTCTCTCAATCGATCGACATGCACTTTCAGACTCTCATTCTTCGCTTACGCGATTCCCCACTCCTCCCGGTTGGAATCTATCTGGGACTTTTTCCCGATTCTTTTATTACCTGATTTTTCTTTTGCAGTTCCCGGAATGCAGTGCTGGCCATGCGTCACTGGGTCCCTTATTCGGGCATTTATCACAAGAATCAGCGCAATTAGCGATACTACCGGTTTCTGCCCGCCGCGCGCGACACAACGCTGGTTGAGAGTCCAGAAGCGAACCTAGTGACCATCCACGATCCAGCAATTTGGAGGAGCCGGGACGCACCTTGTGACCATTCTGGGTTCTTAGTAGGGGTTTTTAGCTAAGTGAGGGGGCATTAAGTGCGTATTATTAATTAGCCAGTCAACTACTGAAAACAAAAATCAAGAAGCCAATAGCACTTGAAGCAATTTTTTGGCACTAATTTGGGTACTAATTAACCAATTAACCCAAGCACCGAACTGAGCTGTCGCGTGAATCGCAGACTTTTCCTTCTTCACAGCCGAAAGTTATGGTTAGCAGCAGATGATCGCAGCACACCTTACTCTCAGACCAAGAAATGGGTTTAGTAGGACTGATTCTGAGGAAGAATGGCCTAGTTGCCTTCTTGGCGTAGAATTCGCGCTCCAATCGAAGGACCGCACGCAACACGCGCTGTGCGCACCGCCCGTTTTTTTTCAAGTGCGACCCGTGTTGTCTGAGTCATCGCTACTCTATCGATCTCGTCGGTGGCGTTGTCCCCGTCGGAGGGGATGTCCCTTCAGATTTCTGAAAATTTATTTTTGCATAGTTAGCTCCTTAACCGAACGCTTAACGTGTTGAATTCGATTCGAGACGGTTGCGATCGTGTTCTGGTATGTTATCGTGCAAAATCTGTTTTTCAGGAAGTTGGGTTAAAGCGGCTTTCATTCGTACGTGCGCTATGACTGAGGGTGGCAGCAAGAGTGAAAGTGGCGGTAAGAAGGAGAGGAAAACTGTTGACATCAAGAAGTTCACCGTCGACCTTCTCACCGGTGGTACAGCAGCCGCTATATCGAAAACTGCCGTCGCTCCTATCGAAAGAGTGAAGCTGTTACTACAGGTTTGTTTGGAACTGATCATCTAGTTATGACCTTTCTTACTTCTGGTTCCAGCTCGTTGTAGAACGGCCAAGGGGGTATTCACGGTTACAGGGTTTCCGTCAACCGGATGTGCTCTCCGCGAGGGTCCAGAAGCGTTTTCTCAGCATTTGTGGCGAGCATTCGAAGGGAGGAAAAAAGGGAAGGGGAAAGGGAGGGAAGGGTGAGGGGTTACGCGGTTGGCAGATATCCTGGGAAGAGTTTGGTACCGTGTGTTGGTTTTTTGGTGCCGTGCCGGTGATGATTCCCTCATAGGCTCAGGCAAAGGTCTTCATATTCGTGCCACCATTCTGTCTTTTGCAGCATAGGGATTCCTTTGAACGCAGGCATCCTCTTAGTGACTTACCCTCAACATTTTCCCTATGGAACGGGTCTTCTCAGTAGTACCCCATTTTCTGTGGGCAGATATTATGGCCTTTTATTTTGGCTATGGCGCCCAGTGAAGAATTTATGATACCACTGTACTAGCAACATAGGTATCTTCTCGTTTTCTACATAACCCCCGCGTCAGCCAAAACGTTAGTACATGTAAATATTTTGAAGTAGTTGTTGATCATCCGCTCTTTGATGCGTCATTCTTGATGGGCAAGGTGGCAGTCAGAAAGACCTCATGGAACGCATTCCCAGGGAAAAAACCAAAGAAACCAATAGAAACAGTTAGGTGATTCGTTTCATCAAGATCACTGGTACTTCCCCAAAAACTAGTCTTGCAAGGAACGACAGTATGAGAGGGAATTTTGGAGGTTTTCGTGAGACACCCGTCTCATTCTTTGTATCTTCAGGATCTCCCAAACTGGCGTGGCTGGTATCCTAGGGCGCCTGATGATCAACTTGACTTGTAAGGATGAATCATGAAAGACATCGAGGTTATCCAAACAGCTAGACGGCTGGTTCCTCCCGACACCAGAGCGCTGGTCACCAGGAACCTGGGTGCAAGGCTAACAACTCTGAATTATGTAGCTGCGTCAAGCTGGGCTTATACTGTGAACCTCGGGATCGATGGCGATGGTGGACCTTCCCCTAAGGACCCTTAAGGCCCTTGCACATGCTTTTTGAGGCACATCCGAGGAATTGATTACATGGATCTTCCTTGAACCAAGTCGCTCTATTAAAAGTAAACTTTGATGGTTTGCGCCTTCAGCATAGTGCTTTTCTTTTGCTTCCCCGTTTATGTTACCGATAAGATAGGATAGATCATTCCCAGAAATTTATTTCCTGCCTTATCTCTACGAATCATG